AAATTTTTTGTGAGCTATTAGCACTGAATGAATAGAAAAGAAACTATATAAATGTTTACATGGGCTCTTATGGGCCAAGATAATGCCACAGAATAGATAAAAGCAGAAGGGTCACTTTTAAAGTAAACAAAAACGTGACGGGCATGTTGATAGGGCATACAATGAACGTAACCTTAGCTTTTCTTATCTATTTAGTACTATCAGTTTAAAATATCGATATTACGGTTTGTATTTTATAAAATATATTTGTCTAAATTAGTTATACATTTAATTGTTTAGTTGCTAATACATATTAAAACCTCTTAAAGCAATTTTTCTAGTCATTAAATCAATTATTGTTTTGACTTTCGTATAAAAATTATATTCCACTTTTAGTTTTACGAAAATGGTCACACTGCGACGCTCTAAGACTATGGCCGCTGCGTTTTTATGTGATAAGTATCTTCCCCATGTTAATTTTTATCAGAGTCCGGGGCCTGATAATGCAATGACCTTGAAAATGGTTGGGAAACGGACAGTGCTGGTAGGTGTAGGGAAATTCTATCTGAGTTCTGGCATCACTGGCTATATTTCAATATGTCTAATCGTTTTTTTTTTAGAAAACTCTAAGATTGCCTTCTGTTTATTCTGTGCTATTTACTTTGAGCTTTTAATGGACAACAATCAAACACACACGTTGATGTAAGTTACATTATTTGTTATTTAAAAACTACCCAAGACTTGTATTTGTAACTTGAATATTATAAACTATATTTTAATGATATTTGAAACTTTTTTTCAGTAAAAAAAATGTTTCATTGACAAAATTTACTGCAGCAGAAATGTCGGATAACGGTGAGGTGGCTGGTGTTATCTTTGACATTTTGGCGGTGTACTTAAAATAAAAACAACCACCGGTGACCGTTTTATATGCGTGTGTTTTCAGACTACTTTAAACAAGAAAAATATATTATATTCGTGTATAATCTCGCCGGTAAAAGCTTTATAATGGCTAACGGTAAATTTTGTCACATTAAAAATATTCCCCACTACACACCGACTTATTAAAGAGTGGATATAATTTACCCACACGAATATTATACAGCTTAGATGCTTAAGCTTATGTTCACACGCAGGAGATAGGAAAACAACCCCCCAAAAAAATTAAAATGTATATATTTTTTCACATAAAATTAAGATTATTTTCAAAAATAGTCTGGAGAAGAAAAAATATTTCTGGAGTACTTTTTCTCATTACTGTTTGCACTATTGTTGTTATTTTTCGAATCTATATATGTGCCGAGGAATTTTATGAAACGTCAGACGTCTTAAGACCGTCTCGTGCCAACAATGGAATTTGGAAAATCATTATTTTCTTTCAGACGGCAATGAAATCTCTGGTATTTTCCGCGGTGCGTTTAAATTAAACGAATATTTTAGCACTGGTACATTCATCAAAGAAATACTTGCTTGCAAGCAAGCATTCGAAAAGAAACCAAAAATTACATTTAATTTCACACAGGGACAAATGTAAGCGCGTATTTTAATTTCAATCAAATAGCAGTTCTGGTGCAAGTGTGTTTGTGATCAGGTTAGCCAACATAAGTTATACTTTAAATGGTGCCCACGTTTTTGTATAATAAGTACTTTTAAACGACTTTCGGTAGGCAGTAAATAGCAATATTTTAAACATAAATAAAGTCCTTATACGTTTTTAGGGAAAAAAATAAACGATTTTGAGTATATACATAAAATGGGGTTTCCCTTTGAGAGGTTACATTTAAGAAGACCCTAAAAATATGGAACTCCGAGCAGACGTTATGTGCACAGTTTAGATAATATATAATATAGTTTAGAGAAATAATATACTAGGCCGAGCATATTTAATAGCGTTCCACATGGTAATAGATGTTATGGTTTAATATTTTTATCAGCTACCACGGTTTGCATCGCGAACCGAGTGTGAATTATAATATAAGTTCTCTGCTTGAGTTTTACATTTAAATAAGTGCGTGATTTATTAGTTGCCATATTCATTATATTATACGCGGTTACTTTTATCTTTGGCGACTATAAATTAACGCTTTTAGTGGGAAACCAAACGTTTTAATTACTATTTTGGGGAACGTTTGACGTTTGCGTTATCAGCTGCCAACCAGGTATATTACAGATAATAGTGATAATTGCATTAAGCAGACATTCGTAGAATTCCTATTGGGCTGTGTTGTAAAGGGAAAAGCATTTGCATAAATCATATATCATTCATAAAAATGCTTGAAAATTAAAACAATGCCTGTGAATTAAATTAAAATTACCAAAAAACGGTCGCTTCGAATTCGAGTGATTACCGATTACTAATTGGGATCCTAAGGGGACTTGCAATTTAATGTTTCTCATGTATTCCTGTAATAGCATTTCGTTATTTGAAATATAAATTAAAAAATAATTGCTTTGTGCATCGGGGAAAAAAAAAGAACTACCTCCATAATTCTTTATTCGATATTTTCAAAGAGATTGGGTATTTTTTTTTTTATTGTTTAATTGAAAGTCCCAAAAGAATTCTTTATATTTTATATTATGGATTTTTTAAATTGGACAAAATATATAGTCACCGAGGAAAATCGCAAAACTGTTTGCTTTTATCGATTGACCTTTGTTGAATACTTAACAACCACTTGGCGAATTAGAGATATCTTCTACAGTTTTGTAATATTAAATTAAAATATATTTTACCCAATCGAAATTCGATAAAATATGTACAGTGTGTTTTATGCGATTAACATAATGACTTTAGTAAGTAAAATCATCGATTTAAAAAAAAATATATACGAAGAAAGAAGTTTAAAAACAAATTAAACTTTTCAAATTACTTTAAACTGTGTGCTCATGAATAACCGGGGACTTTCAGTGTCGCAAGTTAATCGGTTTTACGTTATATGTACACTGGAAAAAGCCAAAAAAATAAATTAATATTGATAAGGCACGAAAACATTGTATTTTTTTTAGAAAGGGAAGTTAGCTACAACACTTGATTTGTATCGAGACAAACGTTTTATAAGAAGACAATTATTGCTGGTTAATTGAGATTTGCTCATTGCTTCAAGTATAGCTGTTATGTATACTCAAGATGAATTCAATGAGAACAAAAAAAAAAAAATGGTATTTAAATGTGTATTGACTGGAAATTGTCTTTTCTCTTTAAATCACCAAGTATATAAACTGAAATCTGTGAAGTTTATTAATTAGAACACACCTGACACTTGTGACAGTGCAGGGGCATCCTAAGATAAATAGTAGATTCAATAGTTTAAACCACTAAATACAAATCTAAGTATCTATTTTTTTTTTTAAATTTTAAATGTGATTAATTTGTTATGTCAACAGCTATTCATCGCCTTACAACAAAAATTAATAACGAAACAAAACAACAAGGCAATACATCATTTTAAAACGTATATTATACCTCTTAAGCTGAGCAAACAAGCAAAATTAAAAATAATTTAAGTCAGTACAATGCGGGGTCGTGACATAGCGGGAAAGGGGAGGTACAGGTCGACAGGAATTATTATAACTACTAAACGTGATAAAATCTCTTTCAAATAAACGCTTTGATGCTAATCTGTGGACACCGTGGACAATCCTAACCTAACCTAACCTCGCATTAGGTCAACTTTTAGTCTAGTTTTCAGACCTAAGGGATTTGCTAGGAAATGGAAAATAAAAAAAAAGTTTCTACCCCTCCTCGAGGAAAGGGTTTAAGATATTTTTTAGGTTTGTCGACGTTTAGGTTAGATTATGATGAAAATATTTTTCATACAGCTGTTGACTGTTGATGTCAAAGTTTTAATTTGCCTTATTTTTAGTATTTCATACAAAATATGATAGCAAACAGAGCAAACCGCGAGTTTACTTACTTTTTTAGGAATACCGACAAGCCGCCATGTTCAATTCGTTGGTTCAGCTGCTGTTTACATAAATTAAATATTTAAATGTAGCAAAATTTGTAATCAATTCGTAGGCATACCCCACGGTTGTGTTGTGTTTTATGTTATATAGGGACACAAAACTTGACATGACCAATAAGAAAATATACTAAGATTTTTTTATATTTATAAAAGAGCAAAATCCCTTAACTAGGGCTGTCAGTTCACCGCATGCTAATCAATATAGTGACGTCACGTCGTCAATCATTATTGTTAATTTTATGTATTTATTATTTTCCTCATAAATTAAGTTATTAAAGTCTTGGCAATTGAGAGACGTTCAGTTCTGTATCTGAAAAAACGATTTTAGTAGTTAACGCCTAGCTAGGATAGTATACTACAGATATACATCTAGTAGTAAAGATGTGATAGTAATTGAATATAACGGTGGTGTGATCTTTGATCGACAGGAGGACTTTGAAAAAATCATATTTATTTTTATATTTAACTGCCATTTTAATAGTATTATTCCTTTTTTTTATTACAGAACGTATTGAGGTTGTTGTGGCCACAGTACTGTAGGAATTATTGGGACCTAAATGGATGAATTAACTCTTAAATAAAAGCTTTGATAAGTTCAAATGATGCATATCGGTTGAAATAATAGCAAAGGAAACAATGTGCTTAAAATGTTGTTTTTTGTATTAAAGTGGGATGTCAAACTGACTTGGTTAGATTAAACACAAATTATTACATTTTCGTAATGATATTAAAAATATAAATTTAATATTATAATACTGTACACAAAAATGTAAAACAAAAAACTATACAAATTGTAATTATTTTCCGAGGAAATTCGTGTTTAAGTGTATTCACAAAACAGGTACCTACTCTTAACATCCAAAATATATTATCTCTTTATGGCAACTCATTGGGTACACAAAAAAATTGTTTAAACAGTATAATGCAAATATTAGTTTAAACAATTTTTTATACTTCATGTCAGACTAATGTTAACATAAAATCATAATGAAAAAAATAAGACAGCTTTGTTTACATAGACAATACCTGTAAAATATATTATATTTGAAAGTTTTTATCGATTTATAAGCCTATCGACTAGTTACAAGAAATCCACATTAACAAGATATTGTTAACAGTATACATTGTAACATTTAAATCATTATAGTTAGTAACATCACCGATCGTACAAAAATTGCAAGTAGACTCTAAATCATTGTAAAACTGAAATCTTCTCACTTAACAGTTAATGGACGATTGTGTCTCATAGAAAAATTATTAATATTTGCAGATAAAAATGAAACTTTACTACATTTTAATGGCGTTTGCCTTTGTAAACGTAGCATTTGCCTTTGTTAACATTTGGGCCAAACTTAGAGGTAACTTTATCATTTTTGACATAGTACCCACTCGAGTTAGTTCAAAATCTAAACAATACATTCAATATTAAACTTAATTTACAGAGGATCATAAGAAACAGGTTGTCATTACAAGTCAGTAATTTTTATTTCTTACAAAATAACAGTTATATTTTCTAATGTTATACATATGTTTATAATAATTGAATACAGATAACCACATCCGATCGGCTTTCCATCAAGGTAAATAATATTTAAAATTAGTATACTAATATAAAATGTTCACCGCTTATAGCACAGAGAACTCTTACTCTAATGAATTTTTTTTGATATATTTTTCATAACTCACACCATTATTTGTTTATTCTAGAGAAACTACATAATGCAATTAAAGATGTTATTTGTGGAAATGTAGAGGGAATATACAGATATTCGATGGGTAGTTATAAATATATATTAAAAAAATACAATAGATAAAACCTGCTAGTAGGAATAAGAATTTAAATGTAATATAATAATTATACAACAAACATAGTATTTATATGGAAGTTTATCAGTCATAAATATACTAAAAAGGTTTATTCAATAATCTAAAGAGACACATAGCAACCATGTCATCATGATAAGCGACAGCTGAGCGGGATAAGTGATAAGAGATAGATGTTAATAATATTTGATTTTTTTTTTATTGAATTTAACTGGTCTTGTTACTAATATTTAGTGCAAACGAATTTGTGGAAAGAGGGAATAAGTGAAAAGAGACAACAGGAGAGAGAGGTAATTGGAAGTGAAGGGCATTCGAAGCAAAACGATTATTGATATGATACATAAAACCATATGATCAAAAGACACGGATTTTTTTCTTCCTCTTATTAGTATAAAGTAGAAAAAGAAAATCAAATCCAAGATCATTTAATAATCAGTTAATGTTATGTTAATTTCAGTGGATATAGCTTTTATGATGGCTATTATACCGGGTAATAATTTTCTTTGCGTTTTATAAAAATATTTCTAATATGTACAGACACTCAGTATAAAATGTTTTCGGTTTTCATTTCAGAGTCTATACACAGTTATAGCATACCACAAATGCAACGTAATTACTTTTGTTATATTTTATATTATTTATAATAATTTACACAGATATTACAAGTGTACATATATTATGTGGCTGAAATTAATATGTCTATTTTTATATACACTACATGTTAATAACTATCATAAGATAATTTCTACATTAAATTTTTTCATTCTTTAATTTTAGAACACATAAAGTTCCAGACTGATATGCAAAACGAAATATTTAGAGCCACCGGTAAGAATAAAATCGAAATTGTTTATGTATATAATTTGTAAAATGTATAGCTACTTAGTTTAAAATAAAATAATTTTAATAAGTAAATAGTTAAATAAGTTACACAATATTGTACATAGATTAACTGTTCTAAATAATCTTCTTCCTTAGAGTGACTTTTTAATATAAAAATAAAGACAGGTTTTTTTTACTTAATAATTATTTAATATGCTATATATTTGTTACAGATCTCACAGTGCCTCGAGTTCGCCCAAACTACAGTAATCACCCATTTATTCTACAGTCGTAAATAGCCCTTAAAGGATTAGATTATTAAAACTTATATAAGTCGTTTTTGTTGTATTTCGAATTATGAAGTTCGGGTTTACTTAGCTTTCTTCCTCATTATTTTCTCTACCATTTAGGGTGACCCTACAAGGAACGATTGCTCCAGCTGGCTTTACGTTCTGTAATAAAACACATGATAGGGAATTTTATCAGAAGCAACAAATTTTTTTTTTTAAATTACTATAAGGTTATTTATTAATTTTTACAGATTTCGATGATGATTCATACTCAGACCTTAAACGGGATAGAAGATTTATGATTAAAGAAGCTACAGTATATTTAATCCTCGACAATAAATGTAAATATTCGCTTTGCATATTATATAAAATTAGTACCTAACTAAAAAGGTAAAATAGGCAAATTAAAATAAAATAATTTTTTTTTTTAAGCTCTACCCGGACCAGATTTTGACGAGACCAAATTTGGCGATATGTGTCGTTTAATTGGATTATTCAAAAGTATAATAAACCCAGTTTCATATATAATATCTGCTGTGGTGGACGATTCAAATAATTGTACTCTAACTGCCATAGACAACAGTGTTAGCGAATACAGGTCTATTGAAGGCCACGTTTACCAAGTAGACACCGATCCACATATATTACTTCGTAGCCAAGCATTGAGTATCCAGTATGTGTGAGTAGACCAGGAACCATAGGGTTGTAATTTATCAGAAATTTGGTTTTACCAATTTTATTATGTTGAAATAAATTGTACACTCCGATATAATGTTGAAATTGTCAAATAACTAAATGTATTTCATAATAAACAGTTTCGCTTATAATTACACACATTTTTGTTGCTACATTTTTAAGCCTTTTGCCAAAACCAAAACACCTCTCCATCGGTCCCTACCTGAAAAAGATTCATAATATGGTCCAGGTTAGGTTAGGAACTTTACAAATCATACTTGCTCAGTTTGCTGTTTTTCTGACAGTATTTCAATGGCGTATCGATCGGTACACATTGAAATTTGTTTTTTGGCGGTGAGTTGTTTAAACAGTTATTTTTTTAACACGTCAGTCGAAGTATTCGGCAGTACACGTCAGTATTCTTCACTATACGATAAGTATCCCAACGCATTTCAGCATATCCATTAGCAGCGAGAAACAACGTTGGTGTGACGATTTAAACCCAAATGGCTTGTTCGTCGATTGTCCAGGTAATACTGTTATGCACTATTTTAAAACACCGAGTGGCGATGGGAGACCAAAAACGGTTTGGATCGAATATCCGGTCCGCAAGATCCAAGACCACAATAAACAAGGCCACAGAAACGGATATGGATAATGGCTTAACATTTTTGAAGGGTCTTAATTTTCCTGGATCGTTACACGCGAAATTGAGAAAATCGCTCTATCGAACAAATGGTAAACAGCAATAAACCGGTTAAATATCTTTTTGAAGGTTCGCGACTCACTGAGGATGCGATTGAACAGATTATTTCAGAAGATAAAACAGAAAACGTGGAAGCGATGACGAACACGTTGAATCAATTTTCAAACGCTTTACTAGCCATGCAGCCTGACATAAAAACACCTATAATTAATTAAAATTAATTATCAGCTAATAGTAAATTGACGATTGTGTCTTATAAAAATTATTATTTTCCTTCTTGTATTTTGCAGATAAAAATGAAACTGTACTACATTTTAATAGCGTTTGCCTTTGTAAACGTAGTTTTTGCCTTTACTGATATTCTGGCAAAACTCGGAAGTAACTTTATTATTTTTCGAGTTAGTTCACAATCTAAACAAAACTTTCATTATTTAACTTACTTCACAGAAGAATATAAGAAACAGGTTGTCCATACAAGTCAGTTATTTTTATTTCTAACAAAATAACATTTAAGTTTTCAAATAAAATACAATGTTAAAAATAATTCAATACAGATAACCACTTCCGGAAGGCTTTTTACCAAGGTAAATTATATTTAAAATTAGTATAGGTGTATAGAAATGATCACCACTTATAGCATGGTGTGCTTTTACTCTGAAAAATATCAATTATGATTTTATTTGGTACCTATATTTTATAACTTAAACCATTATTTGTTTATTTTAGAGAAATTAGATAATGCAATAAAATTTTCTATTTGTGGAACTGAACGGGGAGAATACAAATACTCGATGGGTAGTTATAACTACATATTAAACAAATGTATATTATATAAAACCTGTTACAAGAAATAGGAATTTAAATAAAATATAATAATTTCACAACATCATAATATTCCTAAGCAAGTTTATCAGTAATATAAATATTAAAGAGCTTTATTCAAAAATATTAAGACAATTGTTCTGACAAAAAATACTGATGTTACCATAAACTATTTGATCAAAAAACACTGAATTTTTTCCTATCCAATGTCTTTTCTTAAAAGTATATAATCATTATTATTCTACTGAATTTATAGAATGTAGAATAGAAAACCAAATCCAATATCGTTTAATAATCAGTTATGTTATGTTAATTTCAGTGGATTTGGCTTTTATGATGTCTATTATACCAAGTAATAATTTTCTTTGCATTTTATAAAAATATTTCTAATATGTACAGACACTCAGTATACAATTTTACAACTGGAACGTAATTACTAATATATTTTATATTTATAATAATTTGCACATGGCTATATATTATAAGTGTACTTATATATGACTGAAATTAATATGTAATGCATATGTTTGTTTATACATTGCATGTTAATATTTATCATAAGAAATAGTTTACATACAAATTTTAAATTTTTTAATTTTAGAACACATAAAGTACCAAACCGATATGCGAAAAGAAATATTAGAAGCCACCAGTAAGAATAAAACCTAATTTTCTAATGTATATAAGTTACGAATTTTATAATTACTTAGTTTAATATAAGAAAAAATTCGACTCGAGTTGAATAGTAATTCAGGAATATGTTGTTTGATTAAATTTTGATGGCTGTTAAAACATAATTAAAATCGTTAAAACCAAATTCAGCTACTAGAAATAATTTCAACATACACAATACTTTACACAGATTAATTTGTATAAATAATCTTCTTTCTCAGAGTGTCTTTTTAAGATAAAAATAAAAACAGTTTTTTTATATTTTACTGAATAATTATTTGTTGTTCTAAATTTTTGTTACAGCTCTCACCGATCCGGAAGTTCAACCAAACTACAGTAAGCACGCATTTATTCGACAGTCATAAGTAGCCTTTAAGGATTGCATTAATAAAATGTATAAAAGTCGTTTGTTAACAACGAATTGCTACCAACAAGGTGTTTTATTCATTTTTGCAGATTTTGATAGCATTGAACTGTCAGGTCTTATGCTGATCAGAAGACACATGACTAAAGGAGCTACATCTTATTTAATCCTCAGCAACAGATGTAAATATTCGTACATTTTTTATTTTTTTTTATATATACGGTCAAAGTGAATAAAAGGACAATGTAAAAACTGACTGAGTCAAGTAATTGTTTATATTTTTGAAGCTTTACCCGGACCAGATTTCAGCGAGTCGACATTTGGCGATTTGTGTCGTTCAATTGGAGTATACAAAAGTATAATAAACCCAAATTCATATATAATATCTGCTGTGGTTGACAATTCGAACAAGTGTACTCTTACGGCTGTAGACAACAGTGTTAGCAAATACAAGCCCATCAACAGAAATGTTTACCGAGTGGACGTCGATCCAGCTATAAAACTTAGTAGAGAAGTAGAAGCTAACCAGAATATTGAGTAGACCAGAAATCATAGGTATAATTCATCAAAACTTACATTTTACCGTTGTTATTATATTTAAATAACTTGTACTCTCTGTTCTAATATTGAAATTGTCAATGAGCTAAATTTGTTTCATAACAAACGGTTTTACTTATAATTACAAACATTTTTGTCGCTGTTTGTTGATTTATATTGAAATAGAATACTTTTTATGGTACATATTTTTTGGATTAGCGCGTTTTAGGACGTTTAAGCCTTTTTCCACGACCAAAACTACTCACCATCTATTCCTCTAACTGTTCTCGTTGGTTATTTTTATCTACCCAATTAAACACATTTTAACATTAAACACAGCATATTCCACGATGCCTGTGGCAATGTAATCAATTCATAATAAATATCTCTTGGAATTGCTACATTGGGTACTTTATTTTTAGACAACGGTTTCTCTCTAATGTAACAATAATCAAACGGGATTTATAATGAATTCTTGGTATCGGATAAAACGGTCGGCTATTTGTAAAATGGCGCTAGTGTATAAAATATAAATGCAAATAGGTCTTCTACATAACATAGTATAGTAGCCAAAGAACTCAAATCTCTTCACAGAATTGAAATTAGACCATCCTAAGTAGTCGAAATTTTGTCTGACTTTTTGGTTTAAAATAAACCAAAATAGTTACTGTTACTCATAGAAATTTTTTTTGTTTAATTAAAATTATTCCTTGACTCTTTACAAATATACCAGTAACTTAATTGACATGGTCAAAATGTAATAAAACCACTTTTTTCTTAAATATTGCTCATACAAAACTCCTTACAAATAGACCGCGTGCAATCCTCTTAAAATAAAAAGAAGATCTTTCTATTGGATCATCAATATAATAGGATACTGAAGTGAAAACTAATTTTGACCTATTATCATCAAATTTACTTAAACCATTCAACCAAATTTTTTCAAATGAAAACTACAATAATTTCTAATGAATATTTTAACTATTTGACCAAGTTGGTTTCGTATAAAACTGGAAATAGGTCGAGTTAAAATTTCTACTATTTGAGGTTGAGTTTTTTTCGTTTATGAAAAAGTGTAAAATACAATTCATTTTACATAACTTAAAAAAACTCCTACAAAAAATAACATAAACATACATAAATTGTTTAAATCAGTTAATTGTAATTAAAATATGATAAAATATCGAAAATGAATGCTGTAGTCTTTAATTTAAGTATTTTCACAGTCTTTAAGATTAGGTTTCTTTAAAATGCATAATTAAACACATTTTAACAATAAATCTACAGCCTATTCCATGATGCTAGTGGCAATGTAACCAATTCATAATTAATATCTCTCGGAATTGCTACATTGGGTACCTACTTTATTTTTAGAAAATGGTTTATTTTTAATGTAACAATCAAACAGTATTTGTACTGAATTCTTGGTATCGGATAAAACGGTCGGCTATTTGTAAAATGGCGCTAGTGTATAAAATATAACACAAAATCGCATGAAGCGAATATTATAATAGTGTCGTTTGGAGCTCAAACGATTGGTTTTGGTTTTTCATAAAAAAATGTGAGAAATGTTCACCTGTGCACACGGGCTTACATTAAAACTACTGTAACAGTAATTTACAAATTTTAATTTAAGCTGTTACATTTAACATTATAGGCTGTGAGAAACGTGGAGATACCTACATGAATAATATATTTAATTTCAAAATGGTTTTTATCAAGTTACTCGGTTATTGTTTGCGTTGACCTTTGGCTTAATGTGAACATAAAATTATATTTTGTTCAATTAACCAGGACTTTTGTTACTTAAACTAAAAGTTGCGTCATGCATATTTAATATAGTACACTATTATTGTATAAATTACTGGAATGTAAAGCACAACTATACAAAAAAATAATTCGGTTTAAAACTCGAACGATACACAAAAGTGATTTATGGCAATTTTGTATTTAATCAAATGTTCAATTTTTGTTATGTTTCTAACAGAAAACTTTACATCGCCACTGGCAATGTAAATAAGCAATAACAGATATTTGTTGGTATTCTACAAGCAATATAATATATCATAAGAAGGAACATTTTAGTTATAGTCAATTCTACAAAATATATTATTTTTTTATGTTTCTGTCGATAAGCCTAACCAGACTAGTTACAAGAAATTCACATCATCACAAATAGCTCAACAAGATATTGTTAATTTTGTCCATCTTTGACTTATAGGGTGTATCATTAAAATCAATATAGTAAGTAACACCACCAAACTTAAATAATTGTAAGTAGACTTTAATTTAATCTTCTGATTTTCTATTTTTTTGTATTTTTGTACTACTTTCTAGTTTCTAGACCAGACATTTTTTTTAAATAGATAGGGTTGGCTCAATTATGTAAAACCATCAAACCATTTTTCAACTTAAAAATACAATGAGCAAACTATAATAATAGTTAATGAAAATCGTATTTTTCTTATTATTTTCAGATAAAAATGAATTTTTACTACATTTTAATAGCGTTTGCCTTTGCAAAGGTAGTACATGCCTTTAACGTTCTGGCAGTTTTTAAAGGTAACATTATATTCCTTTTTGGACTTATTACCCACATAGTATCTAGTCGAGTTTGTTGAAAATCTAAACAAAATATTCAATATTTAACTTAATTTACAGAGGACTATAAGAAACAGGTTGTCTTTACAAGTCAGTAATTTTTTTTTCTAACAAAATAACATGTAAATTTTCAAATAATATACATATGTTTAATTGAATACAGATAACCAAATCCGATTGGCTTTCCATGAAAGTAAATTATATTTAAATTAGTATACTATTGAGACTTTGATGTCTCTTATGCTTTTAATTGGTACTTTTTAAAACTTTTTTAACCATTTTATGTTTATTCTAGAAAAATTACATAATGCAATTAAATATATTCTTTGTGCAACTGACCAGAGAACCTACAGATATTCGATGGGTAGTTATAATTATATATTAAAAATACAACACATAAAACCTGCTAGTAGAAAGTGGAATTTAAATGTAATATAATAATATCGTACAACAAACATAGTATTTCTATGGAAGTTAATCAGCAATATAAATACTTAAAAGGTTTATTCATAATCTAAAGAGACACATGTGCAACCATGAAATCATGATAAGCGACAGCTGATAAGGGATGAGTGATAAGAGATTAGATGTAAATAATATTTGATTTTTCAATTGAATTTCACCGGTCTTATTACTAATATTTAGTGTAAGTGAACTTGTGGAAACTGGGAACAAGAGACAAGGGACAACAGGAGAGGGGCATTCGAATCTAAACGATGATACATAAAACCATATGATCAAAAGACACTGAATCGTGTCCTATTCAATGACTTTCCTACAAGGGGAATACAAATTTTTTCTGCCTCTAATTAACATAAAGTAGAAAAAGAAAATCAAATCTAATATCGTTTAATAATCAGTTTATGTTGTGTTAATTTCAGTGGATATAGCTTTTATGATGGCTATTTTACCGGGTAATCATTTTCTTTGCGTTTTATAAAAATATTTCTAATATGTACAGACACTCGGTATAAAATGTTTTCGGTTTTGATTTCAGAGTCTATAGACAATTTCACCATACCAGAACTGCAACGTAATTACTTTTGTTATATTTTATATTATTTATAATAATTTACACAGATATCATAAGTGTACATGATACTTGTGGCTGAAATCAATATGTCTATTTTTACATACATTACATGTTAATAACTATCATAAGATATTTTCTAAATTAAAAATTTTATTATACAATTTTAGAACACATAAAGTACCAGACAGATATGCAAACCGAAATATTTAGAGGCACCAGTAAGAATAAAACGGAATTTTTTTTATGTATATAATTTACAAAATTTATAATTACTCAGTTTAAAAAATTTGTTAAAATTCGACTAGAGTTCAATATCGTGTGACTCAGCAATAGGCTTTCTGCTTAAAGTTTTGATGAACGTTTGGAGGATTATTTAAATCGTTATAGACAATCGCGGGTACTAGAAATAATAATTCCAAGATACAAAATATTGTATACAGATTAACAGTTATAAATAATCATAGTTAAGATAAAAATAAAAACAGGTTTTTTGTAACTTAGTAATTATTTTATATATTTGTTACAGATCTCGCCGTGCCTCCAGTTCGCCCAAACTACAGTAATCACTTATTTATTCTATAGCCCATCCTAAGTAGTGTAAATTTTGTCTAGCTTTTTCGTTTAAAATAAGCCAAAATAACTATTACTAAATTATATAAATATAAAATATTAACTTAAAGCTTACACAAATTAACCGGAAAATGAATTAAAATGGTCGACATTTATTAATACCTCTTTTTTCTCAAATATTGCCTATACAAAACTCCTTAAAAACAGTGCTCCAATACCCTTAATAATTAGATAATACACATTCATAGAATTCGTTTATTATATTTCTCATTAAAAAAAAAATCAGTTGCCCATTTTGAATGAGACACCACGATTTGGTTTTACTTAGTTTCTTTACTCATTATTTTCTCTACCATTTAGGGTGACCCTACCAGAAACGATTGTTCCAACTGTCGTTACGTTCAGTAATAAACCTCTTTATAGGGAATTACATCAGTAGCAACATTTTTTTTTTTTATAAATTGCTATCAGTAAATGTATTTATTAATTTTGACAGATTTTGATGACAATTTATATCCAGAACTTAAACGGGACAGACGATTTTTGATTAAAGAAGCTACAGTTTATTTAATCCTCAACAATAAAAGTAAACATTCGCATAAGTTTTGCTTTTTAAACTGTTTAAATATATTATATATTGCGGTACAAGAGGATAAATGGTCAATGTAAATACTGTACTAGGATTTGAATTTCTTATATCCAGCCCTATAAAATATCCACGTTAAAAACCAATCAACCAATAGCTAATGACCAAGGCTTAAAACATATATACATACAGGGCGATTGTTTTATCACGGGCCACTCAATATCTCATAGGGTAGATCTAGAATGGTACTTAGTCTATAGTCAAACTTTTTTTTTATTAAACCCAAAAAACAGGGGGAAATTACACTTTGACCGTAGTCAATATGTGGGTGTTGCTATGTGTGATTGAATCAACAGTCAAATGGAATGAAAATATTTTCATTATATTTTTAATTACCATACTTGGGCACCTAATTATGAAAATAAATTTTCATAGACAGACGATCAACCCTAACATAACACGTAAAATAACGGTTAACCTAAGAATCGTCCGCTAGAAATGTATCTTTTCTGTTATTATAAATTTTTAATATTAATCGAAATATATTATTTTGTTCAATGCAAATTATCTCGGTTTCGTATGCACATTTTTGCGGTTATACATCAGCACACGTTAGCGACTTTACAAACCATACATTTCTATTTGCTCAGCTCGCGGTTTTTCTGACAGCATGACGTATCGATCGATACGCATTGAAATTTGTTTATTGGCGGAAAGTTGTTTAAACTGTTAATTTTTTAACCACGTCAGTCGAAGAATTATTCTTCATTGTACGATAAGTATTCCAACGCATTTCAGCATATCCACTAGCAGCGAAAAACAACGTTGGTGTGACGGTTTAAACCCAAATGGCTTGTTCGTCGATTGTCCAGGTAATACTGTTATGCACTATTTTAAAACGACCGAGTGGCGATGGGAGACCTAAACGGTTTGGATCAAATACCCGGTATAGCCGCTCTCAAGGATGTTGGCATATGGAAAAACGGCGAAATCACTTCACTGGGCAAGACGTTCGGTGCAGACCCAAAGCATTGGCGTGCCGACATGTCTTTTACCGCGTTGAGCTGTTTGTACTCTTCGAAAATGGTCGGTTTGATACAAAGAGCGGATGACGATTATGCCGATTGTAATCTGCTTCAAAACGAACGGCAAGGAAAACATATGTACTTCGCAGGCTTGGCCACGATACAGTTGCAGTTGAAGTCATTGCAACCAATCGCCGTTCAAATGTTGACGACGGCAATGAATTTCATAAAACGGTTTAACATACGAGCCGACAAAAACGTGTTGAACGCCCTAATGTCGTTTTACACGTTTTTGAGCAACATCAAAGACGGAGTAAATGAACTCATGGAAGATTTGTTTAGAATATTCATCAACATGAAGTTGTACACGCGATACTTGATCGAGACGTTTGCGGTGCTGAACTGTTCGTGGTCGGCCTTCGACGTGGATCGTTTACACCAAGCCGACGGCGGTTTCCCTGACGAAATCCTAAACGAATTCAATTTACCGGAAACACACTTTCAGAGCGAGCACTTGGATCCGAGAAACCTAGTGTTGCCCAATATTTGGGAAATCAAAATAGATCACGAACACTATAGTGAAAAAATGATTACAATGGGATACATGCGTGTAAAGTCTGATCACACAGATTCGTTTTTAAAGGCATACGCCGTCGTACGTTTAGTGGAAGATGGTCGTTCGGAAATCATAACACAAAGTCAGACAGTGGCGTTCCAGTGTATAGCCTCGGTGATATTTTATTTCATCAGTCGAATAACCGAAAGGTCCGCAAGATCCAAGACCACGATAAACAAGGCCACAGAAACGGATATGGATAATGCCTTAACATTTTTGAAGGGTCTTAATTTTCCTGGATCGTTACACGCGAAATTCAGAAAATTGCTCTATCAAAGAATGGTAAACAGCAATAAACCGGTTAAATATCTTTTTGAAGGTTCGCAACTCACTGAGGATGCGATTGAAAAGATTATTTCAGAAGATAAAACAAGAAACGCGGAAGCGATGACGAACACGTTGAATCAATTTTCAAACGCTTTACTAGCCATGCAGCCTGACATAAAAACATCCATAGAAGTAAATAAAATGTTGTGCGATTATGAGTTTGAAGAAGTAGGTTTTTTGCAATACGACACCTCTAAGTTACAGATTAATCATACTTTATTGTCGGAACGTGAAAGTACAAGGCCGAAAATCCCAATTTTGAACAGTTTAAAAGATAAAAATTGTAGGTTTTCTAATGTTGCTGTTGTTCATTTTATACTAATTGATTATATAATATCACAGTGTGAAGCAATGTTCGATTTAAATAATATGGATACAGACACGCAATTGGAATCTTGGTTTGACTCGTTGATAAGATCGATCAGATCGATAAGAGGCGTACTCGACCATTCGCTGGTTACTACACTGGACACACTAAAATCGACTTATCCACACAACAATGGCAACCGCAAATTAATTGACTCAATTCTAGCGATGAAACTATACTTGAGCAACGGCAACCTGTTCGACAGCAGAGCACCGATAACGGTTTCTAAATTGGACGCGTTAAAAAGATACAACCGTTTTGTCATAAACCTAATCGAACATTATACGGTGCATAGCTGCCCGAGACGATCGCCTCGAGAGAAGTTTACAAAGGAGATTTTGGCTAATATAGATCGTCAATGTAGCAGCGATGTTGGCCGAAATGACAAAACAAAGCTGATCAAATGCGTCGAGGGAATCATCAGGGATAATTTGAAAACATACCAAGCTGTCCCGAGTGGATCCCAAACCGATAGAAACGATTATACAATTGAAAAGTTGTTGATGACCGAAATTTTAGAGAGGGCTTTGAATAGAGATTACAGTTTGTCAATGCTGCTTGAGCTAAACGTTTCGTGGGAAGGCGAACACAAAAAAATCACCGAAATTGTCGACGTAGCGAGGAACAACATCAATCCGAAATACCTTGGCAAATACCAATTGGTCGTGATCAAAGCCATTGTGTTTATAGTGTACGAATATATGAAAATGATTCTCCAGTCTAGTAGTGCGTCGAGTAACAATTTCCGGCAATATTGTTCCAAAATGGATGTACTGCTGAATGCGTTAAATATTATAGGCAGTGATTTTTTGCCGTTAGCACTATACCGAAATTACCAAATGATTGTGGAAAATGTACAAGAGTACTTCCGAGGTGATGCTTTGGTTAATACAAGCGCACTTATTGGTACAATCGAAGCAGAACAATACTATTTGGGAATTCAAAAAGGGTCGTCTAGCGCAATAGCCCAAGGTATAGTGCTTTCGATTCCGGATCATACATTAAGACCGATCTCGAAGTCGACCGATGTCGAAGCAGCTGGATCGTCTGCATCTAAAATGGACGGTGATTATATACTACACCAACTGCTATGGTATATGACTGCTGTTGACGAAATTCGGACCAATCTCGCAAACGTTGCACTTGTGTTGGATTTGAAACGAATGAGTAATTTACAGATCTAATACAAACATGTTATATCTTACAGAATTCATATCGTATTATAAATATATTACATATTATCATATTATCATATAAACAAATATCACGCTAAAAATGTATACCCCATATTATATTATACTTATTGTACTGTTTATGCACATTTCGTTCATTCAATAAAATGCTTTTACCGATATTTGTATTTCTTCCATTACCGACTTGCGTCGAATCGAACCATGCCATCGCTACACTTAAGGCGGCCAAGCTTTATTTTTGAGTATACATTAGAATGCATAGTCGCCTATCTAGGACTAACAATACTTGCATCTGTGAATAAACGAGACAGAAGTGATACGAATATTTAATACGTGACATAACGTATTGATTTACTTAAAATAATTGTTTTTGTATTTTTAAAGCTCTACCCGGACCAGATTTCAGCGAGACCAGAATTGGCGATCTGTGTCGTCTAGTAGGACTATTCAAAAGTATAACAAACCCCGATTCATATACAGTATCTGCTGAGGTTGGTGATTTGAATACTTGTACTATAACCGATGCAGACAATAATGTTAGCAAATACAGGCCTATCAAAGGCCGTGTTTACCGAGTAGACACCGATCCACATATATTACTCCGTAGCCAAGCATTGAGTGTCCAGTATGTGTGATTAGACCATAAATCATAGGTGAAACCTATCAACAATTGTATTTTACCAATTTTATTATATTTAAATAACTTGTGCACTCTGTTCTAATATTAAAAATTGTCAATTATCTAAATTTATTTCCAATAAAAACGGTTTTGCTTACAATTACAAACATTTTTGTTGCTATGCGTTTAAGCCTTTTGTCACAACTAAAAATTCCTCTCCATCTATCCCTACCTGAAAACAATTCATAATATGGTTATGGTTATTAGCAGTTGTCCAGAATATTAGCATTAATGAATAAACTACCAATCGAGCAGACTGGTATTTTCTATCCTAACCTAGTGCATACTGACCATCACGGTGACCTGAAAAATTATATTATTTGATCTGGTATCAATATTTTGTGACACAATTTTTTTATAGATTGAGCAACACCTAAACGTTTAATAGGAGAGGCTACCAGGAACTTTTGGCTATCTATTAAAAAATACCTTTTTGCCAAGTCGGTGTCGGTATGTAGACCTTTTTTGTTTTCAATTTTTGGAGAACTTTTTAAACAAATTTTATAAAAAAAATACGTTTATGCAGTGTTTTAACTTTTTATTTATTCTGTTATGATATACAACTTTTAGGCTAAATAAACTACCTATATCAGAGAAAGTCCTGAAACTCTTGATTGCACTTTTACATGCCAAGGCGATTCTAATAAGACATGCTCTTAGAACTATAGCAATAATTTCTTGAGTGTCTTATAAAATATTACTTCATTCATCAAAAATAAATTGTTACCTCTAACTTGGGTCCAAATAGCGACCAGTCTCACAATTTTAGCCAAGTTGAATTAGACTCAGTCGCGTTGGTTATTCTTTAAGCAAATTTGTATAGTTATATATTAAATTGATTCTTATTGTTATTTTTTTTTTAAAACATGAATATTTATTTTTCTCAGTGAAGTTTTTTCTTGTTTCTAACTATGATATTTTATGGATAAAAATATAAAATTTATAAATTTTTGTTTTATAGGTATTCACCGTTTTCCTCATAATGATAAAAAAGATGTAGGTACCATTGTTGTTGTACAGTTTACACATTTTTATTATGCCAACTATAAGGGATTTACTTTATTTGTTCAAGCTTAATTATTTAATCATTTAAGTCATAACTGTTATTTTGTTTTATTTTGTATTCTGAATTATTTTGTAATATTATATTTATAGCCCAAAGATTCGCTATGATAAACAAGCGGTTCAAATACGGCGAAGATGACAAGTTTATCTGTTACAATGATGTTACAGTAGTTATATATAAACCCTTGTGCACAGGTGCACGTTTCGCACATTCGACTGTACACATTTTATATGAAAGACCAAAACCAATCGATTGAGTTCCAAACGACATTATTATATTCGCTTCATGCGATTATGTATTATATTTTACAAACTAGCGCTATTTCACAAATAGTCGACCGTTTTATTTGATACCAAGAATTCAGTACAAATACCGTTTGATTGTTACATTAGAAATAAACCATTTTCTAAAAATAAAGTAGGTACCCAATGTAGCAATTCCGAGAGATATTAATTATGAATTGGTTACATTGCCACTAGCATCATGGAATAGGCTGTAGATTTATTGTTAAAATGTGTTTAATTATGCATTTTAAAGAAACCTAATCTTAAAGACTGTGAAAATACTTAAATTAAAGACTACAGCATTCATTTTCGATATTTTATCATATTTTAATTACAATTAACTGATTTAAACAATTTATGTATGTTTATGTTATTTTTTGTAGGAGTTTTTTTAAGTTATGTAAAATGAATTGTATTTTACACTTTTTCATAAACGAAAAAAACTCAACCTCAAATAGTAGAAATTTTAACTCGACTTATTTCCAGTTTTATACGAAACCAACTTGGTCAAATAGTTAAAATATTCATTAGAAATTATTGTAGTTTTCATTTGAAAAAATTTGGTTGAATGGTTTAAGTAAATTTGATGATAATAGGTCAAAATTAGTTTTCACTTCAGTATCCTATTATATTGATGATCCAATAGAAAGATCTTCTTTTTATTTTAAGAGGATTGCACGCGGTCTATTTGTAAGGAGTTTTGTATGAGCAATATTTAAGAAAAAAGTGGTTTTATTACATTTTGACCATGTCAATTAAGTTACTGGTATATTTGTAAAGAGTTAAGGAATAATTTTAATTAAACAAAAAAAATTTCTATGAGTAACAGTAACTATTTTGGTTTATTTTAAACCAAAAAGTCAGACAAAATTTCGACTACTTAGGATGGTCTAATTTCAATTCTGTGAAGAGATTTGAGTTCTTTGGCTACTATACTATGTTATGTAGAAGACCTATTTGCATTTATATTTTATACACTAGCGCCATTTTACAAATAGCCGACCGTTTTATCCGATACCAAGAATTCATTATAAATCCCGTTTGATTATTGTTACATTAGAGAGAAACCGCTGTCTAAAAATAAAGTACCCAATGTAGCAATTCCAAGGGATATTTATTATGAATTGATTACATTGCCACAGGCATCGTGGAATATGCTGTGTTTAATGTTAAAATTTGTTTAATTAGGTAGATAAAAATAACCAACGAGAACAGTTAGAGGAATAGATGGTGAGTAGTTTTGGTCGTGGAAAAAGGCTTAAACATCCTAAAACGCGCTAATCCAAAAAATATGTACCATAAAAAGTATTCTATTTCAATATAAATCAACAAACAGCGACAAAAATGTTTGTAATTATAAGTAAAACCATTTGTTATGAAACAAATTTAGCTCATTGACAATTTCAATATTAGAACAGAGAGTACAAGTTATTTTAATATAATAACAACGGTAAAATGTAAGTTTTGATGAATTATACCTATGATTTCTGGTCTACTCAATATTCTGGTTAGCTTCTACTTCTCTACTAAGTTTTATAGCTGGATCGACGTCCACTCGGTAAACATTTCTGTTGATGGGCTTGTATTTGCTAACACTGTTGTCTACAGCCGTAAGAGTACACTTGTTCGAATTGTCAACCACAGCAGATATTATATAATATGAATTTGGGTTTATTATACTTTTGTATACTCCAATTGAACGACACAAATCGCCAAATGTCGACTCGCTGAAATCTGGTCCGGGTAAAGCTTCAAAAATATAAACGATTACTTGACTCAGTCAGTTTTTACATTGTCCTTTTATTCACTTTGACAGTATATATAAAAAAAAATAAAAAATGTACGAATATTTACATCTGTTGCTGAGGATTAAATAAGATGTAGCTCCTTTAGTCATGTGTCTTCTGATCAGCATAAGACCTGACAGTTCAATGCTATCAAAATCTGCAAAAATGAATAAAACACCTTGTTGGTAGCAACTCGTTGTTAACAAACGACTTTTATACATTTTATTAATGCAATCCTTAAAGGCTACTTATGATTGTCGAATAAATGCGTGCTTACTGTAGTTTGGTTGAACTTCCGGATCGGTGAGAGCTGTAACAAAAATTTAGAACAACAAATAATTATTCAGTAAAATATAAAAAAACTGTTTTTATTTTTATCTTAAAAAGACACTCTGAGAAAGAAGATTATTTATACAAATTAATCTGTGTAAAGTATTGTGTATGTTGAAATTATTTCTAGTAGCTGAATTTGGTTTTAACGATTTTAATTATGTTTTAACAGCCATCAAAATTTAATCAAACAACATATTCCTGAATTACTATTCAACTTGAGTCGAATTTTTTCTTATATTAAACTAAGTAACTATAAAATTCGTAACTTATATACATTAGAAAATTAGGTTTTATTCTTACTGGTGGCTTCTAATATTTCTTTTCGCATATCGGTTTGGTACTTTATGTGTTCTAAAATTAAAAAATTTAAAATTTGTATGTAAACTATTTCTTATGATAAATATTAACATGCAATGTATAAACAAACATATGCATTACATATTAATTTCAGTTATATATAAGTACACTTATAATATATAGCCATGTGCAAATTATTATAAATATAAAATATATTAGTAATTACGTTCCAGTTGTAAAATTGTATACTGAGTGTCTGTACATATTAGAAATATTTTTATAAAATGCAAAGAAAATTATTACTTGGTATAATAGACATCATAAAAGCCAAATCCAGGAGTTTTTTTAAGTTATGTAAAATGAATTGTATTTTACACTTTTTCATAAACGAAAAAAACTCAACCTCAAATAGTAGAAATTTTAACTAGACTTATTTCCAGTTTTATACGAAACCAACTTGGTCAAATAGTTAAAATATTCATTAGAAATTATTGTAGTTTTCATTTGAAAAAATTTGGTTGAATGGTTTAAGTAAATTTGATGATAATAGGTCAAAATTAGTTTTCACTTCAGTATCCTATTATATTGATGATCCAATAGAAAGATCTTCTTTTTATTTTAAGAGGATTGCACGCGGTCTATTTGTAAGGAGTTTTGTATGAGCAATATTTAAGAAAAAAGTGGTTTTATTACATTTTGACCATGTCAATTAAGTTACTGGTATATTTGTAAAGAGTTAAGGAATAATTTTAATTAAACAAAAAAAATTTCTATGAGTAACAGTAACTATTTTGGTTTATTTTAAACCAAAAAGTCAGACAAAATTTCGACTACTTAGGATGGTCTAATTTCAATTCTGTGAAGAGATTTGAGTTCTTTGGCTACTATACTATGTTATGTAGAAGACCGATTTGCATTTAAAAATTTCAGTTTCTTATAATTAAATACATTTGCATTTTTTTCATTATTTAAACCTAATGTTTTTTTACTCTAGGTGTTCAGCATCTGGTACAATATTGTGCAGGTGGAAAACGATAGAGAAATGTGAGGATAGAAGGTTGTCCCAAACGGGTTATCGACCAGTCAACATTTTTAGTACATTATTCTCAATTTATAAAGTTAATGAAATGTATGCGTTACCATTTAAGTTTCAAAAATTTCTAAAAAAAAAACTAAGGTAGGTGGGGGGTAAAAACAAATACAAATTGTGAGAAACTGAGTGTTTCGCGATAAGTTGATCACTCTGTATATAGTATATATATGATTAAAATGAACTTGTAATTGTTTATACATTGCAATATGTTCAGAGGAAACAATATACATACAAATTTTTCTCTGTTTAATTTTAGAACACATAAAGTACCACACTGTTATGCAAAAATAAATATTAGAAAGTAAGAATAAAACCTAATTTGTTTTTTTTTGTGTATATAAGTTACGAATTTTATAATTACTTATTCGTTTAAAATAAGATAAAATTCGTCTCGAGTTCAATAGTCATTCATTATTTATATAATTATTTTTTATAAGGTCTTTATTTACTGAATTATTATTTGGTTTTTTATATTTTTGGGTTACAGCTATCACCGTTCCGGAAACTCCAACAAACTCCAGTATGCACGAATTTATTCGATAGTCGTAAATGGCCTTTAAGGATTAGATTATTGATAGAATTTTAATATAACTATTAGATAATGTATAGAAGTTTGTTATGATTCGAATAAATTCTCAGTTGGAAAAAGCAATCTACTTCGACCCCTTGTTCCTGCTCGTTTTGTATTAGAACTACATCACGAGCAACAATTTATTTTGTTATAAATTGCTATCAACAAGGTGATTTATTCATTTTTGCAGATCATATTTTACCTGTAACAGAGCTTATGTGGTTAAGAAGATATATGACTTTATTAGCTACAACTTATTTATTCGACAATGTTTATATTATATTATCAATATTTTATTCTTGTGATATATAAATTATAATATACCTTAAAGTAAGTATAGCCTATAAATCATTAGCATAGTAAAATATTAATAACATAATGTAAACATTGCCGCAAATGCATATGGCGGTCAAGGTTCATGTTTGAGTATACGTTAAAATGCATAGTCGTCTATCTAGGTTAATATACTTACATCAATGAATAAATGAGAAAGATGTGCTACAAATATTTAAAACATGATACGACTTGATATACTTAGAATAATTGTTTTTGTTTTTAAAGCTCTACCCGGACCAGATTTCAGCGAGATCACATTTGGCGATTCGTGTCGTTTAATAGGATTATTCAAAATTATAATAAACCGAAATTCATATATAATATCTGCTGTGGTTGACGATTCGAACAACTGTACCCTTACTGGAGTAGACAACAATCATTTAATAATTTTAAAAATATAAACTGTAAAATTGTGGGACTTGTTACCACCAGTTAATGCATCCCGTTAATCATAGCCTGTAATTATGGTGTGTTTAATCCAACGAAATCAGCTTGATATCCACCTTATTACTAAAAACACAATTTTAATCACATATTATGATATTATTGTCTTTGCAATTATTACAACCGATATGCAACAATGAAACTTATCAAAGCTTTTTGTTAAGAGTGAATTCATTTATTTAAGTCCCAATAGTTCCCACAGTTCTGTGGTCACACCGACCTCAATATCTTCGGTATTATAAAAAAAAAGGAAAAGTAAAATTAATATGGTTAGGTTAGGTTAAATATTTTGAGATGTTTTGTTTGGGTTTGGAGTTATGGATAACGTATGCTGGGCAAGTTAATTGTGTATAATATAGATTTTGGGAAATATTAATACTTTTATAAAATTTAACTTTTTATGTTCTAAAGAAGTTTTTACAGCTCCGCCCTTGCTACACAACGACCCTAATGTGATGGCTTTTTTTTTTAATTTAAGTATTTTTGGTCTAAAAATTATGGCAAAGTCATTTGTTAGATTACGTTCAAATCAATTTTTAGGTATATTCGCTTCATGCGATTTTGTATTATATTTAATGCACTTTTTCTTTTTACTGGAGCTTGTTGGGTTGAAATAAAACTGCATAAGCACTAGATAAAACTTGTATAAGGAATGGATTTTATCATAACTGTGAAATATGTGATATTACAAATTATATATATGTATGTATATTCTGCACATGCAGTTTTATAGAACACTTATGATAATTACATTATTATGATATTTGTATTTTTCTATTTAAAACGTCTTATAAAATAATCGAAATACTTCTAAACTTATGAGAAATAATATTGAGATACCATAGCATAGCAAAACCCCAAACAATTATAACAAACGGTTTATTTAAAAAATAATTTCTTATGTTGGTTTTTATTGTATACCGAAGAGCTGAATCTAAAAAACATAATCTACATAAGTCTTAAAACAATATTTTTCAAAAAATTATTTTCAAGTTGGAAAATGGTGTGTTGATTCTACTCGATTGAGCCAAAACTATCTATTTTATGAAATGTCTTGTCTGGAAACTAAAAAAGAGTACAAAAATACGAAATAATATAAAATTGGAAAAAAACCCAATACAAAATTGTTTTTGGTCTACTAAAAACTTTCGGTGGTGTTACTTACCAAAATTATTTTAAAGATACAATGTATTTTATGTTTGCATTAGTCTGACGTGGAATATAAATTATTTTTTTCACAGTTATTGGTTTTCAGAACCACTCGTTGGACTAATAAGAAGATAATAAGGAGGATAATTATTGATAACTTGATATATTATCAGGAGAAATAAGTTGAGAACCTGTTTTGTTTGATTATTTAAGGTTAGGTGGGTTTTGGGCGAGGATAGGAAATGTTTCACTGTCGTAGACGTTAGGTGGGAATGGAGTCATATCACTGGGTCGCTGATCCTGCTTGTTTACAGTATAGTTATTATAATTGCCACGGTTATTAGTTGTATGTTCGCCTCCACATAAGGCACAGGTTGGCGGTATATCTATTGACTTTGTGCATTGTAGAGAAGGATGGAAATCAGCGCAGCGAACACATCTAGGAGGATGTGCACAATATCATTTTGCGTGACCTTATTGCTGACAGTTGGAACATTGTGTAATTTCACGACGTTTATGGGGCTCTTTAACCTTTATTTTCGCATGAAAAAGTGAGGTCAGTTTAAATAATTAAAATAAATGTTGCAGTTTCTAAAAAGAAAGTCGAAAAATGAAGGTACCAGAAGACAGTTTTGGGTTTTTAAGCTACCCAATTAAATACATTCTAACATTAAATATACAGCATATTCCATGATGCCAGTGGCAATGTAACCAATTCATAGTAAATATCTCTTGGAATTGCTACATTGGGTACTTTATTTGTAGACAATGGTTTCTCTCTAATGTAACAATCAAACGGTATTTATACTGAATTCTTGGTATCGGATAAAACGGTCGGCTATTTGTAAAATGGCGATAGTGTATAAAATATAATAGAAAATCGCATGAAACGAATACAATAATGTCGTTTGGAGCTCAAACGATTGGTTTTTTTTTTCATATAAAATCTGTACAGTGAAATGTGAGAAATGTTCACCTATGCACACGGGCTTACATTAAAACTACTGTAACAGTATTTTACAAATTTTAATTTAAGCTATTACATTTAACATTATAGGCTGTGAGAAACGTGGAGATGCCTACATGAATAATATATTTAATTTCAAATGGTTTTTATCAAGTTTTTCGGTTATTGTTTGCGTTGACCTCGGGCTAAATGTTAACTTAAAATAACTTTTTGTTCAATTAATCAGGACTTTTGTTACTTAAATTGAAAATTTCGCTATGCATGTTTAATATAGTACACTGTTATTGTATAAATTTACTGGATTGTAAAGCACAGCTATACAAAAAAACGTTCGGTTTAAAATTTGAAGGTCACACAAAAGTGATTTATATCAGGTTTTTGTTAAACCGAATTTTCAATTTCTATTGTGTTTCCAACAGAATAGTTTACAACGCATGTAGCAATGTAAATAAGTAATAACAGATATCTGTTGAATTCTCTACAAGAAATATGTACCATAAGTAAAAATAAATATTTTTTGCAGTTTCACACTATATTTTTCATGATTAATGTGCTTATGCAGAAGACCATACTTAATGCGTCATGCATACTTGATATAGTAAAACAGTCGGCATAATAAAAATGTGTAAACTGTAAAACAACATTGGCAAATCTTTCTATCAGTATGAGGAAAACGGTGAATACCTACAAAGTATAAATTCATATATTTTATCCAAAAAAAAATATCATAGACAAAAACAAGTATAAAAGAACGTCTTGCTGCCGGTGGGATGGTTAAGCCCGTTGAGTATGAATTTTTGGCGACTATGACACAAAAAGACACCAGCTATGTAAACAAAATCGCATAGACAAGCTTGCAAAATACTCCTAGACTTTGTGCCGTGACAATTTGCACGGTAACACTAATATGTAAAATAAAAAACTGTATGCTCCGCGACAGAGAATTGTATAAAATTTATATAATTTAAAAAATGTAGGTATATTATGAAATATACTACAAAATCGCACGAAGCGAATATAACTAAAAATGGATTCAAACGGAACCTAACAATATGTTTTTGCCATAATGTATAGACCAAAAATACTTCAATAAAAAAACAAAAAAGCCAGCGCATTAGGATCATTGTGTAGCGAGGGCTGAGCTATATTATCTACATTAGAATATAAAAAGTTAAATTTTATAAAAATATTCATGTTTCTTAAAATCCATATTATCGTATGCGCTATAAAAATGGTTAAAATTGTATACTGCAAATAACGATTGATTTTGAAACCATAAACTGTGAAAACAATAATTCATATTCCACGTCAGACTAATGCAAATATAAAACAATAATGAAAAAAAAAAGAAAGACAGCTATGTTGCTAAATTCACATAGTAAATTCTGCAAAATACATTATACTTTAACGTTTGGCCTACCGACTAGTTACAAGAAATCCAAATCAGCACATTCAGCTTAACAATCTTTGACTTAAACGTTGTATCATTTTGGTAAGTAACACCACCGAAAATTGTAAGTAGACTTTAAATTAATTTTTTATTGGGTTTTTCTAATTTTCTAGTATTTTGTATTTTATTACAACTTGTGAGTTTCCAGATCAGATATTTTATTAAATAGACAGTGTTGGCTCAATCGAGTGCAATCAACACACCATTTTCCAACTTGAAAATAATTTTTAAAAAAATCGCAAAATTGTTTTAAGATTTATGTAGGTTATGTTTTTTAGATTCAGCTCTTCGATTTACAATAAAAACCAACATAACAAATAATTTCAAAAAAAACCTTTTGTCAAATTTTTTTTTTAAGGTTTTACTATACTGTGGTAGTTCTCTACCTCAAAATTGTCTCACACAAGTTTAGTAGTAATTCGACTATTTTATAAAACGTTTGAAATAGTAAAATTACAAACAAATCACTAAAAAACTAAAATCTTCTCGTCTAATAGAGTCAATTGACGATTGTGCCTCAAAAAAAAATATTATTATTATTTGCAGATAAAAATGAAACTGTACTACATTTTAATAGCGTTTGCCTTTGTAAACGTAGTGTTTGCCTTTACTGACTTTCTGCCACATCTCAAAGGTAACTTTATCATTTTTTCGAGTAAGTTCAAAATCCGAACAATACATTCAATATCTAACTTAATTTACAGAGGATCATAAGAAACAGGTCGTCGTTACAAGTCAGTAAATTTTATTTCTTAGAAAATAACATTACATTTTTCAAAATATGACCGTTAATAAAATTAAAAACAATTTTTTTTTAAATAATTCAATACAGATATCCACATCAATAGTGCTTACTGGGGAGGTAAATTATCTATAAAATTACTAATTAGTATAGTTTAATGTATAAATGGTCACCGTTTTAACTTAAACCATTATTTGTTTATTCTAGGGCGATTGCCCAACGCAGTTAAACATGTTATTTGTGAAGCTGATGATGGAGTATACAAATATTCGATGGGTAATTATAATTATGTATTTAAAAAAATTTATAATAGAAAAAAACCTGCTAGTCGAAGTAGGAATTTGACTGTAATTTAATAATTGCACAATAATATAATATTCTTATGCAAGTTTATCAGTAATATAAGTAATAAAAGATTTATTCGAAAATCTAAATTGAGCCAATCTGATAAAAAATACTGATGTCACCTTATTTTACTTAATCGAATTATCATATTTTATTCTAATTATCACTTTTGCTCATTAGCGCCCATTTTAATAATGGTTTTAACCCATTCGAGAAAATATTTTTCAAATCTTGATTCATTTGTAAAATATCCATCAAAAATAAAAAAGGTTGATAAAAAGTTAAAGATGTTTTTTTTTTTTTGGTGGTATATTGTTTTTAAATGCAAGGCTCTATTCAAGTTTTCACACAGGTATTACATATTTTAACAGCTTGCGTACAAGTCCACAACACCATGGGATACATTTTTATGTATTTAAGGTGGCTAGTAAACATATCAAGTTTCTGACTAACATTTTAGTGTTTTCATAATATCTGGCCCAAAACAATTCATAGAGAATTTGGCCACTTAAATTATTGAATTTATTATTCATTTATATTTTAAACGTTGTGAATACAAAATATATGCCCCCACCCCCATTCTCATCCCCAACCTCATCCCTTATCTCTAATCTCCTATCTCTTACCATCTATCACTTCCTCTATCTCTAACCCTCAACCCTATCTCGTTTTTCGTTATGATAGTCGGTGTCGGTATGTTCCCCCGAAATGGTTTTTTCGGTTGTGTTCCAAAGTAAAAACCATTTCTCTTATCTCTTATTGCTTTTCCTTATCTCTCATCTTATCAGAAGAAACATACAAAGTACAAAAATCAAAGAACATATTCCTAAAGTCCCCTATGTATTACCATCCTGAAGAGTGAAAATCAAATCCAATATCGTTTAATAATCAGTTTGAATTATGTTAATTTCAGTGGATATGGTTTTCATGATGGCTATTTTACCGGGTAATAATTTTCTTAGCATTTTATGAAAATATTTCAACATGTATTTTGATAGTAAGTATAATTTGTTTTTGGGTTTTAATTTCAGAATCTGTAAACGACATACCAACACTGATACGTAATTACTTTAATATATTTTATATTTATAATAATTTACAAAGAGCTGTTTATGACTGAAATTAATATGTAATGCTTAAACTTATTTATACATTACATGTTAGTAAATATTATAAGTTATAATGTTCATACAAGTTTTTCTTATTTTAATTTTAGAATACATAAAGTACCAGACTGATATGCAAAATGAAATAGCAGCATCCACCTGTAAGATAAAAACCTAATTTTTTCACGTTTATAAGTTATGACTTTTGTAATTGATATTCTATATTTTTGTTACAGCTATCGGCGTGCCTGTACTTCCTTCAATCTTCAGTAAATACGCATTTCTCAGTTAAAAAAAAAAATACAACTACTTCATCCATCTCGAAAGTAGGAAAAAAATGGCAATTTTCGTTTAAAGTTTTTATTTTATCACTTTAACTCTGCCATTAAATGCACGACCATATTAATTTTCTATTGACGTTTCAGTTGTTGTCTATAAAAATTTTAAATTTGATCATTTGTATCATTATTTTAAGGTAATAATTAGAAAACTTGTTACCATACCAAAGTTTCATTAAAGCGTAACACAATCATAAAATTAGTATTAAATAATTTACTTCTTTGATTCAGTGTTGTTCATTCTTACTAGCCTAATAGTATAATATGCTTACAGATTTTGGTTTTTTTCGCATGTTTCTTTATTTTATAAAAATCTTATCGAACAATATATTTTTGGTTTAATTCCATTAGTAATAGTCCCGGTAGGAAACTATAACACAATCAGCATTTTATATAAATATATATGTATAAATTGATATCCGTCGTTTATATTTTATTTTTGCAGATTATGGTAACAGATTATTGGAAGATCTTAGACGTGAGAGAAAATATAATATGACAGAAGCTATAATTCATTTAATCCTCAAAAATATAAGTAAATATTTTTCTTTTTTAACTATTTATATATAAACGGCCAATGCAAAAACTGACCGAGCCAAGTGTACAAGGGTTTTGACAAACCATGTGGGTTTGCACATGTATATTGTATTAAATGTGCCAAGTGGGTAAATAAAATATGCTTGTAACTTAATATAATATATAATTTGACAGCGCGTAGAAACTTATTATAATACATATTTGTTTGAAAGTGTTTTTGTCACTTTCAGTTGTAATGATACATATAGACAAGTGACCTCCCCCCACGATATACTCCCTCTCCACTATGCCACAACCCCTCTGTAGTGTCTTTTTAATACAATAACATAGTGATTATATTAGCCCTCCCCTACTGTAGCAAATGTAAAACACTAAAAAATATATAAATAATCTAATCTTCACCTAATGAATATTTTTTGGGGCTGTTAGACATCTATTAATTTTTTGGTGTACGTTAAAATGCACAGTCGCCTATCTAGGCAAATATACTTACATCTGTGAATAAACGAGAAAGGAGTAATACAAATATTTCAAACATGATATAACTTGATTTACTTAAATTATTTTTTTTTTTAAAGTTCTACCCGGACCAGATTTCAACGAGGCCAAATTCGGCGATGTGTGTCGTGCAGTAGGATTATTCAAAAGTGTGATAAACCCAAACAAATACATAGTATCTGCTGAGGTGAACGAGTTGAATACTTGTATCATAACTGATGTAGACAACAGAGTTAGCAGATACGAGCCTATTGACGGCCGGGTTTACCAAATAGGAGATGGTTCACCTAAAACATTTAGTAGCGAGATAATGGCCGTCCAGTTTATCAGAAGAGTGCGGCAGTAGACCAGAAATCATAGGTATAACTTATCAAAAATTATAATTTACCGATTTTATTATATTTGTACACTCTGCTTTAATATTAAAATTGTCAATTAACTACATTTATTTCAAAATAAACCGTTTCGCTTACGATTACAAACAGTTTTGTTGCTATGTGTTTAAGCCTTTGCCACAACCAAAACTCCTCTCCATCTATGTACTATTATGTACTCTTAAAGTTACTATTTTACATGATTGAAAACTGTAATACAACAATGGCAAATCTCTCTAGCATTACGAGGAAAACTGTGAACACCTATAAAATATAAATTTATATTTATGTATTTTATAATTTTTTATCCATAAACTTTCATAGAAAAAAAACGAACGTCTCGCTACCGGCGATCGGTTAAGCCCGTTAACCAGCTGTGTAAACAAAATCGCGAAGGCGATACAGCAAAATACACCTAGATTTTATGCCTTGACAATATGCGAAAAGAAAATTCGTGTGCCCCACGACCGAGAATTGTATACAATTGTTATAATTTAAAACAAAATATACATTTATGAAATATAATACGAAATGGCATAAAGTGAATATAATGTAAAACAATCATCCAGGTTTAAAAATGATTATGACGACAAAGTTTCATATACTTTTTATTGGCATTTTAGTACACTATTCGTATGCCTAACCTACAATTATAATGTGTTTTATGTTATTAAATAAAACTCATGGGGTGTAGTGGGGCAGAATCAAAAGGGAGTACAAAAATTATTATCTATGAAATTTCCAAAAAATACAATGTTATTCGATTTTGGATTTTTTCTAATTGTTATTAATTCGTATAAAAAACATTTAATGACTTTTAGTTAGGTACGAGTTTTTTTTCGTTCATAACAGTTAATATCGATAAATAAAGTACAAAGTAGTTAAATTATGTAATATTTCTTTTTAATGCTACGAAGAAAAATGGCAAATACCTGTAAAACACAAAAGGAGATATAAAATCGTATACGCTGTAAAACTGTTACAATTGTATAATGCAAACAACGATTGGTTTTAAAACCAATAAATGTGAAAAATAATTTATATACTCCACGCCAGACTAATACAAACAAAGTAATATTGAAAAAAAAATAAGACAGCTATGTTACTAAACTTACACAGTCAATTTTGCAATACATGTTGATTCTTTAACGTTTCTGTCGTTGTACAAACCTACCGACTAGTTACAAAAAAATTCACATCACCACAGTTAGCTTAACAATATTTCACTTGCACTTTGTATGATTTCGGTAAGTAACACCACCGAAAATTATAAGTAGACTATAAATATTTTTGTATGGTTTTTTTCCTTCTAATTTTCTATTATTTTGTATTTTTGTACTTCTTTTTTAGTTTCCAGACCGGATATTTCGTTACATAGATCGGTTAAATAAATTAACTTAAGAATAAAAAGAGCTGACTTGTTTGACTAAACTGTTTAATATCTCATCTTCCTATACAAAAAGTTACCATAAAGGCTTGCTACACGAAGAAATCGGTACACTGGTTAAAGATTTATCGTAGGCCAGGCAGAGAAAATTTGAAAAGTTATTCCACATTACTGAAAAACTAAAATCTTTTCGGCTAATAGTAAATTGCCGATTGTGTCTCATAAAAAATATAATTTTTCTTCTTGTTCTTTGCAGATAAAGATGAAACTTTGTTACACTTTAATAGCTTGTGCCTTTGTAAACGTGGCATTTGCTTTTAATGACCATCGAAAAACGTTAATAGGTAACTTATTCATTTTTTACCTTTGTGCCCACATAGTTACTACTCGAGTTTGTTCAAAATCTAAACAAAGAATTCAATATTTAACTTAATTTACAGAGGATCACAAGAAACAGGTCGTCGTTACAAGTCAGTAAATTTTATTTCTTTCAAAATAATAATACATTTTTCAAAATTTGACCGTTAATAAAAAAAAAAATGTTTTTTTTTTAAATCATTCAATACAGACAACCACATCGATAAGGCTTTCTGCAAAGGTAAATTGTATTTAAAATTATAGCACGGTGTACTCTGAAGACTTTTAAGTCTATTATGATTTTATTTGGGTTTTTTTTTTTTTGTAATAACTTAAGCCATTATTTGTTTATTCTAGGGGTATTGTCCAATGCAGTTAAAAAAGTTATTTGTGGAGTCGAACAGGGAGAATACAAATATTCGATGGGTGATTATAAGTTTTATTCAAAAATCTAAAGTGAGCCAATCTGATAAAAAATACTGATGTTAGGTTAGGTATAATAAGGAATGGTTATTTTACATATTATAGCGGGAATTCCATTGTATTTATGGACACATTTTTAGTTTTTATAGACATTTTTAAAGCAAACCCGGGAAAACCCGTCAAAAAATCAAAAAATATATATTTAGATCCCCATATGTATTACCATCCTGTAGTGTGAAAATAAAATCCAATATCATTTAATAATCAGTTTGAATTATGTTAATTTCAGTGGATATGGTTTTCATGATGGCTATTTTACCGGGTAATAGTTTTCTTTGCATTTTATGAAAATATTTCAACATGTATTTTGATATTAAGTATAAAGTGTTTTCGGTTTTAGTTTCAGAATCTTTATACGATTTCGACCTAACAAAACTGCAACGTAATTACTTTAATATATTTTTTATTTATAATAATTTACACAGAGCCATTAATGTATACAGGATGATCCAATTAACGTAAGACACTCACTTTCTCTGAAAATATGAATATTTTGAAAAAAATGTTTTTCTTAACTTTTCGGTACATAATTTACTACATTATTCAATATTTTGAAAATTTTTATCACAAATCCTTGTAAGCAAAAAAAAGCGGATTTTTTTTAATGGCAACATAATATGTTTTTATACACATAAATGTAGACAACAATTTTTAAAATATGTAAGCGTTTACATTTTTTATTTTCATTTATCTGTTCATTAGCTATGACTTTGTAAAGATACTACATATTATCCTCTTAATAATTGTCATAATTCAAAAAAAATTTTACATTTTACAAAAAAACAATAATTTTCTTAGTAATTTCTGGCAATGGGACTAAACTTTTTTTTAACACGAATCGATGCATCTAAGTAAAGTCGATGACTAATCTGTAATAATCATGTTTTTGATAAAATGATGAATTAGGCCCTTTTTTGCATGAAGCGATTCAATTACATGTTAGACAATATCATAAGCTATAATGTTCATACAATTTTTTTTTTTTTTAATTTTAGAATACATAAAGTACCAGACTGATATGCAACAAGAAATATTAGACGCCACCAGTGAGAATAAAACCTAATTTTTTTTTATGTACATAAGTTACGAATTTTATAATTACATAGTATAACAAAATAAGTTACTCAATAGTATACACAGATAAACTGGTGCAAATTATCTTAGTTCTTAGTAGAGTGTTTTTGCAGTGTTTATTAATTGATATTCTATACTTTTGTTACAGCTCTCAGCGTGCCTGAACTTGCTCCAAACTACAGTAATCATGCATTTAATCTACAATCGTAAATAGCCCTTCAGATAAGATTATCAAAATTTATAGGAGTTGTTTAACTATAAGTTCTAAGTTCAAAAAAAAAAAAAAAGAAACACCTAATTCATCCCCCTCGAAACTAGGAAAAAAAAGAAGATTTTTGTTTAATGTTTTAACTCTTACCTTCAGTAGTTTGCGCATCCGTAGTATCAACTTTAAAAATTTAAATGGGAACCCCTACATTTTTTGGGATATTCTGTTAGCAATTAATATTTGAAATACAAAAATGTTAAAAACAATTTTTTAATGCCATACGGTTCAAAAGTTATTGCTATTTAAAGTTCATGTTAGTGCTCTATTCAAATGCATTTTTAAGCGTGTACAGGTCAGATAATTTGATGTGGCTTTTATCAGATGTGTAATTTAACATCTGAAATATGATTTAAAAAAAAAATAAAAAATTCACAATTAAATTGAAATAATACTTTAATTATCATTTGGAAATTTGTTTAAAAAACACTATTTTTTTAGAGACGCTAATTGCGCGTCTTGGCTCTCACAAAAAGCATGAAATTGTCAAAATTTGTTATTTTTGAACGATAATATTACCGAAACTACTTGGCAGAAATTTAACCAAAGTTTTCTTAACAAGTTAATAATCTAACAGAATATCTAAAAAAAATATGGGGGTTCCCATTTAAATTTCAAAAGTTGATACCCCGCATGCGCAAACTACTTAGAGCAAGATTTTGGATTTAAACTCATATACTAAAGCGTCTATTTAAATATCGATTTTTTCAACTTTCATAACTTATACAGGCCCTATTTTTGTATAAAACTATATTATATTATTTTCTACATCAAACAGTAAGTTCCTAAAAATATTCCTACTTCATGTCGCACCGAAGCATTCAACCAAGTCTATTTAGATTCTTTTATTTTTTATTTGATAGTGAATCTGTTTGTTGGTTTCTTGTGTCTTCCAGACATTGATTTCAGCTGCCCATTCCCGATCAGACACTGCGATTTGGGTTCACTTATAGCTGACGTTACGTTCTGTATTGAAACCCTCCATAGGGAACTATAACACAGGCAACATTTTATAGAAATAAATTGCTATCCATCGTTTATTTATTTTTGCAGATTATGGCGATAGACTATTTCCGCAGCTTAGACAACAGAGAAAATATGCTTTTGTAGAAACTATATACCGTTTAATCATCAACAATATAGGTAAATATTTTGCTTTTTTAACTATTTATATATAAATGGCCAATATAAAAACTGACCGAGCCTAGTAGTGACCTCCCCCCCCCCGCGCGATACACTCCCTCTCCACTATGCTTCAACCCCACTGTACTGGCTTTTCAGTACAATAATATAATAGTGATATTGTTAGCGCTCCCCTACTCTGACAAATTTGCAACACCAAAAAGAATATTAATAACCTAATGAATATTTGATGGGACTGTTAGACGTGTATTCGTTTTTGAGTGTACGTTAAAATGCATATTCGCCTGTCTAGGTTGATAAACTTACATCTGTAAATAAATGCGAATGAAGTAATAGAAATATTTCAAACGTGATACAACTTGATTTACTAGAAATAATTGTTTTGTATTTTTAAAGTTCTACCCGGACCAGATTTCAACGAGGCCAGATTTAGCGATTTGTGTCGCGCAGTAGGATTATTCAATAGTGTGGTCAACCCAGACAATTACATAGTATCTGCTGAGGTTGGCGACCAGAATACTTGTATCCTAACTGCTGTAGACAATAGTATTAGCAGATACAGGCCTATTGGCGACCGGGTTTACCGAGTAGACGTCGATCCAGCTATAGAACTTAGAGATATAATGGTCGGCCAGTTAAGAAGCTGTGGGCACCAGTAGACCAGGAATCATAGGTATAACATATCAAAAATGATATTTTACCGATGTTATTATATCTAAATGGTTTTTACACTCTACTTTAATATTAAAATTGTCAATTAACTAAATTTTTTTCAAAATAAACCGTTTCGCCTATAATTACAAACAGTTAATATGTTGTTATGTATTTAAGCCTTTTGTCCCAAAACAAAACTCCTCTCCGTATATTATGTACTATTATTTGGTAAACAAAAATATAGATAATGTTTTTTAGAAAACAAATCATAAATTGGTCAAAGTTATTAGTATCATAAGTGTTGTTATGGATAAAACTGCATGCGCAGAATAGTACATTTGCACTCGTTTATATAATTTGTAATTTCACAGTTTAAATAAAATGTCTTCCTTGCACAAGCTCTATCTAGTGCTCATGGAATTTTATTTCAACCAAGAAACTCAAGGGTCTTATATGATTGAGAACGACTCTTCGTAATGGTTTGACTGTTAAACGAAACTATAGTCAATAGCATATGCACGAAACATTAGTATATAGTCAAGACACCAGCTGTCTCCTCGTATAATGTGCTTTACAGAGTGGTATTAACTAGAATTCCATTTAATAACCGTCACCGTGCATAATATGCCATCGGGGAATGAAAACTAAGTTATTGTCTGTATCTGTTTTTCAAATAAACCATGATAGGGTGGCTCGTTGGTAAACAGCTTTCGTCAGCATTCAAAGATTTAGGTCATTTTGAGGTCTTTTTCGAGGCGGTCTGGAACGGTTGCGAGAAAATTGTGCACACTTTGAAAGCGACCCGACTTAACCCGTCTGCCCGGTTGCTAGACAACGGTAATTGTCACCATTAGGTCCGGTAGCCTTTCTTAAGGTTGTTGTTGCTGCTATTATTATTTGAACCGCTGTAATTGACCGATTATGGAAAACTTTTTATCTTTTCGACTCTCTTCGTTGCCCCACCAAGCTATTCCATTAGCGCAGACCGCTACCAGTTAAGCCGACAGCGCAAACAAAAATGTATTATTCTTCACACCGTGATTTATTACTGAAAAACTTTACCGACCATCGTATCTCTAATGCCGGACCTTAAGGCTGTGTACGGCCTACGCCAAAGAACGTTTCGAAACGCACAAACTTAACCCCATTTATCTCAAAACCTATCGAATTATTCATACGCGACGAGTCGACGGTTTTTTTTTCATCCAAAATTTATCACCGTTTTCATAAGTATAATATATATTTATTTTTCCATATTAAATTATTTAACGTTGGATTTCTTAAAAAAAAAAAAAAAAACTACATTCCTAACGTTTGCCTTTGCAAAACCTATTTCAAATTTATTATCAGCCCAAAATAATATGCGAATTGAATTTATTTACCAACAACGAAAGATTTTCACAAGGGAATCGTTTTTTATAGCTGGAATTATACAAAAATTCGAATCAAATTTTACTCCAAACGAGGTATTGAACGGGTAAACTTAAAAACGAAACGAAGTTATAACTAATTAAAAACAATTTACATAAAAAAATACGAACCGTAATATCATTATTTTGAACTGATAGTACTGAATAGATAAGAAAAGCTAAGGTAAAGTCATTGTAAGGTCGTTAAAAAATGGCCGTCACTTTTTTGTTTACATTTAAGTAACCCGTCTGCTTTCATCTATTCTGTGATTGTAGCTCATAGGTTCTCATTACAATCTAATCTAGTTGTATTTAAAAAAAAAATCATTATAAACACTTTGACCGATAACAGATATTAAGTTAGTTGTCACTTTCATTGTCATCCCTAAGACAATGAGTTTTGACTTTTTTTTTTATTATAGACTATTACTCTCTTGCCATGTCAAACGGTCACCGTACATCTATTGTGTATAAAATATAATATGATGTCCGTTTTACATTTTTACCAAAAACAACTTGGCCTTCCGACTCCCTGGGGACTTAGCCAAAATGGGAGCGTTTCCCATTGTGGTATTTGTGGTTTATTAACTTCCAGCGGCCAGACGCTATTTACTCATGGCGTGAAAGTGGCAAATAATATTATCGTTTTTATGATTTTATGTTTTGTTTCCAGCAAAAACAATACAAACAAAGCCTGGTAATATTACCTCGATAACGATGGCAAATCAGGTATTGGGATTCATGTTTACAGAACAAAAACCTACAAATTGTAAAATCGATTTCCATTGAATATACATTGCTGCTGTTGTTATACTTCCGTGTATAAAAATGTAACATTTTTATTCAAAATCATGCACTTTACCTATTATATTATTAACCAGCTTAAAAATAAAAGTGTCGTATAGAAAACAATAACGTCGAATTTGAGAATATTACACCAATATTAAAAGTAGTTATCACATTATTTTACTTTGTACGACTTTTTTAACCACAGCTGTTGTACTTTGGTTTACACAAATAACACTTAGGTATTAGGACCTTTTTCTAGTAAAATAAAATATTATGTTTTCCTATTTATAGTACGTTTCAAATAAAAAATTAAAAAATGTTTACAGGAAAAAAACGCATTTTGCAAGAAAAGACGATTTGGGCCCATAACCTAATAAGTGTCTCAATTATAAAGTACAAGTATACGCTTTATTGTCTTACCAAATGAATAATATACAATTTTTTTTTTTTTTTTTACAGGAATTTCGACACCTTTATTAATTTAACTTATTAGTCCGAATTTGAAGTCATTATTTTTTATTCTGTCGGTCTCTGGCAGGTCCTCGAACGGACGGCATAGGTTAATTGGGTATATAATATTCTCGGTTCGACACCGTCCTTTATGGCGTCATCCGAATTTGATATTGTGTAAACGGAGACGCTCAGAAAGAGCAATAGAATTATTTTATTACATTCAAAAATGGCGTACGATATAATGTGTATTATGATAATGCTTTCGATCAGTGTATATTATGTCCTATTGCAGTTTTTAACTTTGTGCAAAAAGTTTCAGGCACGCAAAGAGAAGCAAAAAGCGACGGTCGGTTTTTGGCGAAGAACTTTTCGATTACCAAGTTCAAACGCATGTTATATATATATATATATAACGATTTGGAAATTTGCATTCAAGCAATTTCGGTTAATGAGTTTTTGAGATTTTAATATATATTTTTATATTCCGGCTGACCGAGTCTAGGTAAAATATTCCATATTTCACTGTATAAAATCATAAGATTATAGTAAAGCTAATATTTCAAAAATTGCCGAAAACCTACCTAACCTAACCTAACCGACAAATTTTAAGTTATGTGTAGCACCTCTAAAGAGCGTGCGATGTCGGCAATAACTTGGTCCAAAGTGGCCTAATCGGTGCGCCGAGTAAAGCTTATGCAAATTTTAATCCGAGACCGAGAGGGAAAAGAAAAAATGAGAGAGAGAGAGAGAGGCTTGCACGTGCAGTTCCGGCGAGTGTAATTATTTATCGTGCTTAAAGAGATACTTGAAAAAAATATATATGAGCTGAAAACTTTTATAAAACCATACCGAGCGTTGTCTAATTTCCCGGATAGGCCTGCACAAGAGTTTGTTCGACAACAACAACAACAAGCAGTATTTATCGATCGGTTCTGTCTTAAACGCTTGTGTGTGATGGTTTTTAATGTCCTCGCTTTCTTTTGCTTCGCCCTTAACACTCGGACGGGCAAATTACACTTAAAGACCTTCGAGCCCCGGGGGGGGGGAGGCGCAAAATAAACATTTAAGGGTAACTTCCCTTGTTTGTTTTTTGTGGTCCCTCTATGTGTTGTTTTGGAGGCGACCGCTCATCGGAACGCCGCGTTGTAGACGGGATGAACTTTCCCCGAGGTAATTATAAATAACAATTAAAAACCATACGAGTTAAACGTGCCGGTGAAATATTCACGAGCGGCCAGACGTGCAGACAAGACACGACTAAAAAAAAAAAAAAGAAAGTTAAGAGTATCCACACTCTATGCAGATACGTCATCAATACATGGACATGTCCTGATATATAATTACACGATCATTTCCAATCTATAATCTCCTTGTGATATATCATGGCGATAGTGTAGTCTTAATTATATATTCTGGCCAAACGGGTTTTAGTATTTTAATGTCTGGCCTTGATCGATTTACTGGCTACACAAATCAATTTTCAACATTTCTCATAAATCGATTTCCGTAGTTCGCCAGTAAGTAAGTGCCTACCTAACAAATCAATTGGACTATCGTTATGTCCTTACATATCCTTTATATGCCCTTATATACCCTTATATATCCTGCAACTTGATGTACAAATTATGCCATAAGACGTATTCGTGTCAAAAACCTCGAGCGTTTGGTTTTGACTCGAGTACCTACAAGTACACTCTCCAGTCTAGAGCCTATAGGTTCTGGATAACGTCTCTAAGTGTGATATTTCACACCGAACCACAGCTTTGGTCCGTCAAAACTGTCCAGTAACTATAATTATATATTTAATTCGAGACACTTCTCAGAACCAGGGCCCAATACGGTTTTGGAACAGAGGACCAACTTTAAAATCAATTTCTTAAGCTTAATTTAAATGTAGCGTGTATACATTTACATGCATGCATGTAGTTTAATTTATTATTACAGGTATAACGTTGTAGAAGAAATCCAAACCCTTTGTCGTCACCGACACATGCAGCTTCTTCGGTCTTCCTTGAATTATGTACTGATTATAAAAAACGACAAGTCTAACGCGTTTCTCTCGCAAGTACAATGCGATTATTAACGCCTTCGGTTACGGCCTAATGAAACTGGAGACAATTATGCATACTCTATGTAACTGCCTTATTTTTACTAACAAGATTTTCCGAGACACCGAATTTAATCAAGATTTTCTGTGAAGGCTTTTTATGTTTATCTGGAAGTTTGAGTTCACTTTTGAACTTGAGGGCCACGCAAACAAATTTTAGTGCTTTCGTAGACAGTTATGAACTAATTTCATAAAAAAATATGCAGTATGACACTATTAAATAAAATGCATAAAAAACAGGCGGCTGTTTTAACGCTACACCGTGCCTATAAAAAAATTCATCTCGAAGTGTATTTAAACTGAAATGTCGTTAAAACTTTTATAATATTATTTAAATAAAACTTATGGACGTACTTTGTCGACAGAAAAATGCAAATCAAATAAACTGTGTTGTGTTTTTAATTGATAGAATTATTCGCCAATAACGATAGTTTCATAAATTTATATGTTAACTGATATTTAAATGATTGAATTATTCAACCAACTTCATAAATTGAAAACTACCCAAATACAATTAATACTTTGTTATATAGGTACATATATTTATTTAAATTAACGAATTTTAAAAATAAATAAAATACTATTTTTAAAAATTCATTTTAATTTATGGGTTAGGCCACTTTTGCACTCATAGCCTCAATTTAATATAGCGTTATATACTTCAGTAGGTATGACGGCGCGATAAATAGGCAATTTCGTTACTCTGTTGCGTGGATTTACCGGATTTTATTTACTTTGATTTTGTTATTGTATTTAAACAATGCAAACCATTGTAATTATTAGGTTTGGAGCGTATTGAAATTAGATTAATAATCAAATATAATTATTAATTTTTGTAAAACATTAATATTAGTAATCGTTGATATTATCAAATACCAATTAATAAATCGGATATTAATAATTGTAATAATATTGTAACGAATTTTAACTAAAAAAAAAAATGTCATAATAACAGAAAATTCAGATTATTAAAGTCGAAAATAAATGTACAAAAAATATTTAAATTTAGCTCAATGTCATGTTTTATCGAACAGTATATAATTTCAATAACATATTAATAAATTAGTGGTGTGACGTGGTATTAACGTTTTGGTTTTAGTGATATTTCCAACGGTTTGACGCGCCTACCGTAGTGAATTAATCATAACGTTGCGAAAAAACATTTGACGGCCGAGTTTTGCTTACTGAAAAAAAATGTACAATTAACCGACCGGACCGAGTTTCCCGGTAAGCATACACGCGATTACGCGCCATACACATTACGTTTTCCCGGGATTTGCCATTACGGCGGCCGGCGATTGTTTACACATTCGGCAGCCAGTGATGACGGCCAGGAGGACGCGGAGGAGGGTATTGATCATCACGTGCCCGTCGATGTCGTTCTAAGGTGGTTCGACAGGTGGGAGGGAGGGAGGTAGAATGGAGGTGATTTTTTTTTTTTATTCTTTTTTACGTTGCGGTGTGGCGGCGGTGCTTTGGCCGACTCGAACAGGTGTCCCGTTTCGGCGGCGGCGGCGGCCGCGTCCCGTGCGTGCGCACCACGTGCGTGTTCGGCCGCGGCCGCAGCCAATGGACGAGGATCACGGGTGCGTGTGTGCGTGCGCGCGCCATTAAAAAAAGGGACGCGCACCGCTCGAGCACACGCGCGCTACCCAAAGCTCGCCGTCATCATCCTCTGGTGGCCGCGGGCGATACGGCGACGGGCGCTCTCTACGTCGGCGGCCGCCGAGAAAACTCTGGCACACGTATATATGCCCGTCATACACGCACACACGCGTACACACACGCGCACACACACACACACCCGGGATCGCGGTCGCCGGTCGCGCACACCAAACTCACGGCCGTCACCGCTCGGCGAGCCCATCAGGTCCACCGCGACCGGCAGCAGTCGTACGCAGCGGCACAGCCAACGCGGGCACACACAAGGCCGCCGTCGTCGACCCGATAATCTCCGTCGCTGCCGCCGCAGCCGCCGCAGCCGCCGCCGCCACCACCGTGCCACCGGGACCGTCCACGGAAGGCCGCCCGCCAACGTCATCGCCGCCGCAGCCGCCGCCGGCGGGCGCGAAGCAACAGCTTGCACCACACGCACACGCATCGCACAGGTAACGTACCGCTCGTTCCGGCGGCCGCCGTCGCCGTCCGTTAATAAAAAGTGGTTTATCGCCCGTCTCCTTGCCGTCACAATGATAAAAAAAAATACAATCTACACCTATATTTTTTTTTTACCCACCGGTCGCGCTTTTTTTCCAATTATTACTTTTTATTGTTCTTTTTGTATTTGTTTGTTCTGATAAAAAAACTAAAAAAAAATGGTTTTTCCGATGTTATTTTTCGGCGGTGGCCAGTATTTACCCAAAAGGGACGATTGTTTTTCTATAGATTTCTGTTTGTTTTAAACCCTGCGTGCGTGTTTTTTCTTATACTGAAACAAAACAAACAAAAATACAAGGCACGATTCATTCGAGAAACTAGATTCCGGTTGAGAAAGCCAAAAGGAGATAGAGGCGAACGCTGTACTTTTTCCAAAATGTCACTGTATCTTGTCCCGGATAGTTATGATTTATAATATTATAGTAGATATTCTGTGCGAGCCACTATGGTAATGTAGTAGTATACATTATAAAAAAGTTAAGGGCTAAAACTATAATTTATAGACAATAAAAGTCAAAAAGGAAAATTTCAAGTACACAATTAATTCTATTTTACATAAATAAAACCTTCTTCAATGCTACCTACCAACTGGCGAATACTAACCATCCGTCTATTTTGTAAACTTAAAAACGACAACAAACATATTGCTAATTGGCACTTGGAATAATCAAGAAAACGTATTAACACTAATCCATGAAAAAAGATAATATGTACAAGGATAAGATACCGCGGCATTTAAAATGTCAACTGTATTTATTTCGTGTACAAAACAAGACGTATGAAATAGTAAATTAACAAACACATAATTTAGCGCGCGTTCCTTTTTTTCAATAAAAAATTTAGGTTAAAATATAAATGTGTAAAAAAAAAAAAAAATAACAACTACACACATTTAATATGGAACACTCGTTGAATACAAAATAAGTGATTGTGTAAATCATTTTACATTTTTTTGATAAATATTTATCATTCCGTTATTTAGAATAACTAATAAACCGTCAGATTATTATTATTTTTTTTTTACCGAGGTATTTTTTTTATAATTTTCCAAACTACCTTGAAAAATAATACAAGTACCGATTTAATGTTGACAAATTATGTACATTATTTTACTCGTTATTTATAAAGCTGATGTTCTGAGGGGAAAAGTTTCGACAGTATACTTAGGCTGTTCCCGGGGCGTAATTGCATTTTGCATTTATTTTTTTTTTCGACGGTTTTCAACGAAAGCTTTGGGTTTTGACTAATTTTTACCTGTACACGGGTCAAACACAGAACAAGTAAATTATAATATAGGTTTTATCTGTTCTGCGGTATTAAATGGGATAAGTGTAATTTTCATGTATTTTCTTTGGCAGCGACAACGCTTTTTAATGGCTAATAACGTTTGACTCATCAAGAGTGTATGTTTTAAATGTAATTTCCATAACGTTCGATTGGTCAGTGTAATATATTGTCATGAACATATTCCGGTTAGTCCATTGGGTACTGTTATTAGCAATAAAATCCCATTGGTGTAACAGCTGTAATTGCACAGAGGGAAAAGGCAATAATTCGTCCATCTCATATTATACATACACACATACCAGTCGGTCGGTTTGGATCAATATTTTTTAATATGCATATTAATATGTTGATTTTATATTTGTTTTTAATTAAGTCCGGTCGGTCGAACAGCATGCTTTTAATAATAATTACAACAGTAAACCATAACGCTTAAATTTGTTAATAGCATTTCAATAATTTCAAAATCGGATTGAAAATAAATAGATAAAGATTTAGAAATATGATGAAAATTAGGATATGAAAGGTGATTTAAAAAAAAAAAAACTAAATAATACTATGTTTATGGGTTTGTTTTGTTGTGTGCATTTCTTGGATTTAAATTAATTACAACTTTTGTTATAAACAACACAATTGTATTATATTACATCAACGACCCAAAAACACATTATTAATTGTTTTTACTTGGTTAATTAAATGAAGTTAAGTCATAACATCTCAGACAAATGCTGTTAAGGTATTTCATTTTTCGATTATTATCTTTTGCTTGTGTTCAAAGAAGAAACGATCAGTACAACACGAGTTGAAATTATTATTTGCTTACAATTTTCGACGAAAACGTTTCGCCCGTTGTGTGCACATTATTTTTAACGATATTTACTATACATTTATTTATTACACTCGATTAGACGGTAACTGATGTATTGTATTTTCATTCCTTGTATAGTTAACTCGAACGGTAGGTTTGTACGCCACGTTGTATTTTGTTATTTAGACATTTGTTTTATTCGATATTATGTATTAAAGTAATTGAACAATGTTTATCAGAGTAATTTATGTACTTTTATTGGCCCCTCGTTGAGCAGCGATCGAAAGTACCGGTACGGATTTAACGAGTGAAACGGCCGCGAATACATTTTGAATTGCAATGACCGTAAAAAAGTTCTGAATATCTCCTTTTTAGTGTTTGGAACAAAAAAAAAGAAAAACATTTGAACCCTTTGCGGTGGGTAGGACGGGGGAGATACTTTATTTTATATTCGCCTTAACGGAATGATAATACACGTTCAGAGTGTTATGCAATCCGCATTCGATATGCCAACGCGTATGGGAACATATTGTATTGTATTATACTTGCAGAACATGCTCTAACGTGGTCGGCCGGTGCCGTGTGCGTTTCAATGTAGGCAATATGTATAGACACTTCCGGTACACCTCGTCTTAGGTCGGCGAGTGAAAAGTCCAAGAGGGCAAACAACCGTCAAATTATAATAATAAACTGTTTGTTTTGCCTATTTAGAGGTGTTCTACATGGGGATGAGACGCTCGAGCTTTTCTTTTCGGGGACACTTTAGTCAGAACTCTGGAAAATACTAAGAAAATTTGCCCTTCACGAATGCCACCGTGTATTGGCATAATTATTGTTGAAAATCCATCAAACTTTTGAGCGTAACACCCAACGAACCGCTAGACCGCATTGACCGAGTTGTAAGCGAATAAAAATGAAGTTATAATATACCGTGAACTAATTTCGGTTTCGCCAAGCCTGAACGCGATAGAGCGACATCCTTTGTAGTTGTGTCTTCGGAGAGTTTTCAAAGTTAATTATTTGCTCGTCCGTTGTGTAACTATTTTATAAACTTAAATCGTCAGTTTTGTACAACAACACTACTCGGTCCGGTATAATAATACCTGTCGACGGGAATTTGATTCGTTAAAAGTTGCTAATCAATAGAATACAGGTATGTGAATAAACAACAAATTAATTATTACATAACAAAATAAGTTACTATTAGATACGCATCGAATTAATTAACTGAATTTAATTATGCCAACTTAATGTATTTTGCACAAAATAATTTTTGACTTTGGTCAATGGACATGATTCAAATTGAATAGCCCTCCGTTTTAATAGTTTTCTACTTCTATAACAGTCTCAACGTCTCAATTTCTTTTAATGTAGCATCAGTAGGTAAATTTGTATAAAAGTCATGAAAAACATTTGGAATCATTGGTGGTAAGCCCAACATATCTTTTTTGCAATTGGAAAAGGTTTATTTTAACGGCGGCTTATCGCTGTGAACGAACCCTTTTGTTTGTATTTGAACACAACCCCCCCCCCCACCCCAATTATTTCTGGTCAATTGTTGCTGTATTACCGTTAAACCGCCAAAAAACGGATGAGTATATATATTTTTTTGGAAAATCTTTCTTGAATTTTTCACCAATTTAAATGTTATACACAAATAAAATTGACTTGCCTCCCTTATGCGGGCCACCCTTGCACCTTTATGGTAAGTACACGGACGAGGGTGGTTGCATCCATAGTGCAAGATTTACAGCCAACGAGTACACACGACGGCTACCTGGTATAGTTGCGGTCTTAATATAGCTTAGATGATGATGCACCGTATTAAACGTTGTCCGACCAAGGCATTGGCGCCGAGATAGTTTTTAATTAAAATACAAAAGTTTAACGAAATAGCCGTCGTATTTGCACGCCTCGAATGGTAATAACCGAAAGGGCGTTTATGGTAATAGCGTTATTATTATACGGATAAAGCCGGGCGGAAGAAGCCACTTTTCTTCGCGTTGCCTGGACATGTTATTATCTGAGCAAACAGCGGCCAATGGGGGGGGGGGGGGGGTGCGGAGAAAAAATAAAAGAAAAGCAAACTGTCTTCGTCGCGAGCAATTTAATATTTCCAGAGAGTTGACGGGACAGGTCCAATAAGCGAACAATTTCAGGTCGAAATAGCCCCCCGGGGGCGACTCGCATTTAACTTGATGGAAACATTCAATGGCGCTTAACGACGGTGGGAAATTGTTTACATTATAATAATATTATAAATTATGATAATACATCCCATCGGACGAATCGCCGCCACCGTCTTGGTCCGAAAAGTGTTAACGCCGTCATCCTTGTACGGTCGTATAGGTGTAATTTCATTAAAGTTATCAGCTCTGCGTGCACACCAGTCCGTCGATAGTGTGTTATCACAGATAGATAAGCTAAAAAAAATTCGACTTTTTTTAACCCTATAAATCCTGTTTTAACGCATTCAATGGTTGGCATCACTGAACTCGATATTATATAGAACGCGTATTACCTGTTATAGTCGGTCGCCATTTTGTTTTGAACGGCTGTTATCGTTTCGTCCATGATATTAATTGTTTTTTCTATGACTTATCAACTATATGCCGGAGTTATCATCATATTATCATCATGTTATCATTACATAACCTAACATTTTTACACAGATAAATATGATAAACTAGATTGCTAACTAGTGATAAGAATGGAAGTCTACTCGGCCTTTTTTGTGGGATTCATGTGTGTATAAAATAATATATATCTGTGATTCTGTGCTATCAGATGTTATCATTGTAAGCAGTGATAACAGCTATAAACATGTTGTTAAACAAACTGTTCCCACAAAGTTGGCGG